ATTCACATAATTAGAAAAGGTGTCGCGATGAAGTGATATGAAGAGCTGTAACAACCAAGACCTTGGTGCATGATTGTATACTTTTTCATGTCTGGATAGTTGCAGCTAGCATCTGAAATTTAAAAATAAGTAAATACAAATAAAATTAATCATTATAGCTTGACCACAAGCATATTACAGACCAAGGGCGATTTCATGTAACACTGAATGGAAACTAACATTCCTCTCTAAATACTTTGAAAATTCAATTATAAAATTTATATTTAAGGCGAAATGAAAACAAACATTTCAATTAATCGTTTATCAGGTCAATTAAAATGAAAGAGAACATTTTTTTGTTATATTCTTGTGAGCAAGGTATATTATCTCAATTTATTTCTTTCATTGTGCAATATGAAAAAATATATAACCAATATAGTCCAGGTAAACTATTTATTTAAGTTCTATTTCTTTTTTTAAATATCTTTTAATTTTCAACAATGAGTGCATCATACTAAAAATTTTTATCATTTACTACTATACAGCTATTACTACTATTCAGCACTCGAACCACTTGTTGAGACTGCCAGTTTTCTCTTTTGCCTTGAGAAAACATTTTTTTTATAATTTTTTTTTTTTAGGCCATGGGAGTGGGGTAGCTCAGTGGTAGGGCACTGAGCTTCCAATGCAAAGGTCTCAGGTTTGAACCCCGGTTCATGGCAAAAAATTATTTATTCTGTTTCATCGGCCCTGAGGTCGGGACACCCTCCTGGGGCACACCCAGCCTCTATAAAGTTAAATAATTAATTAAGGGGGAAAACATGGCGGTTGAGTTGATCTCAGTCAAATCACCTCCTTGCACAACCGTTGACCTAGAAACAGTGCTTTCCCTAAATAGTACTGAACCCCAGACCCTTCATGGGTTGTAGTGGTACAGGTTTTTTTTTTTTTTTAGGTTATATACCACTCAATATTTTGAGTGGTATATAAGTACTGGTTGGATCCTCACAGTGTTTAGGATCCTTCCTGAATGATTCAAATCTACAATCTGGACTTTCCTGCTAGGAAGTGTTCCTGTTGCTTAAATAAATGCATTTATAATGGTTTTATGAGGCAGAAGTTAAATACTAGAGAGTCCCGGCATCCTGACATATATCTGTTCCTGTTGTGACTAGACATAGATTGTCCTTCATCATCATTATTATAAGCTGAACCAATTTGGCTGGTAAATTCCTTTTTGCCTTACATGCAATTGCCTTATATGCTCCTTCTCTGATCATAATATCACATGTGATGATTATGTATCTGGTATTCTATTGCCTTTTCCAACAGAATTCACAGAGTAAAACTATGATTTGTCTTTGAACTCTCTCTTCAGAATCCAGATTAATATTTCTTCAGCTTTCGTTCAGCAATGTAAGCAATCTATCAAAAATAATGATTAACCATATTGATAACAGGAAGAGAAATATCCTTATAGTTGTTACACAAACCATATCTCCTTACTTATGCATGAAACAAACCGTTTTCTGCTGGTAGCTATTCTTTCCAAATGTCCATAAATGATTCTTGAAGAAATTTTATATTCTATCTATAATTTTATATTCTTCACTTCTTCACTATGCTTTGCCAGGAATGTTCTGCATTCTTGAGGCCACATTGCTATTTTGTTTCTTAGTACCATCACGTATTTTTTTCTTTGTTTGAAGACTCAATCAAGATTGCGATTTTGAACATTTTTAATTAATTAACTAATATTTTACCAAATCATTTCCTAAACGAGAAGGAAATGTCAATTGAGCCTGAATTGCATCATTTATTTCAATAGATACACATGTAAACTGGTTTACAGTCAATTGCAAACTGTGAAGTACAAAATTCCTGGCTTGCGTTAGTAAAGGCTCGAGTCCTGAAGGCTCAGCTCTAGAGCCTTACAACCTCGAACCACCAAGAATCGAGCTGAAAGCTCACAGGGTGCATTCCTTGATGAATTATCTTTAAAAAAAATTAAATTATTGTTCATCTCTCTTTTGTTTCTTAATACTATCACGTACTTTTTTCTTTGTTTGAAGACTCAATTAAGATTGCGATTTTGAACATTTTTAATTAATTAACTAATATTTTATCAGAGATGACACAACCATAAATCTCCCACTCTCCCTTGCTACCAACCTTCACTTTGTTCCTGTCAGCTACGGAAGAAGGTTGGTTTTTCTTTCTTTTTTCAGTTTTCTCTTCTTTTCCTCCTTCCTTTCATTCCTTTTCTCTGTTTAATTCTTTATTCTATTATACGTTGTCAGTACATTTTGATAGACTTTACAATATCTCAATTTTCTATTTTTCAATATTTTATTTTACTATTCATATATAACTTCATATTCCTTTTTTCTGTTTTACATTTTATTCTAAGATTACCATTTTAATACTTATGTCACCTTCTTTGATTATGTTTACTTTATCATTCTACACTTTGTAATAGTTATTATTATTTATCTCTTAGTTCTTACTATTGTCATTATTCTACCCACTTCATTTTACTTTAATTTTTTTTTTACCTACATTATTTATGTTTCTCATACCTTGTTATCTGGTTCTTTTCTTAGCCCTGATGATGGCCTGAACTTCAGGTCAAAACGTCAGCAAATGTCAAAATAAGTATTATTATTTATTTTTGCCTTCTTATTTCTGACTAATCACCCCAACCATTCTTCTCTTCATTATTCAAGACAGTCATCCATTAACCCACAACTATAAATTATTGTTCATTTTTGTAAACAAATATATATTTTTTCTGTTGGTTGTAACTATGTGAATATATTTCAGAAATAATATATGAATATATTATTTTTCTGTTGATAGTAACAATGTGAATATATTTTTGAAATATAATGTAAATAAATAGATAGAAAAAAAGAAGTAAGGTTCCCCCCACGACTCGAGCCTTTTACTGACAAGCTCTAAAGACTTGAGTCTTGGTTAAGTCGAGAAAGCTGGAGCCTTTTCAGCTCAAGCCTTAAGGACACCTTACATGATCAATATGATTGAGTCAATATCGAGACCGTGTAAGGGCTACATTGGCATCGATTATATTGACGTCAATAAAACTGGTTGATATCAAATTTTGTTGATTTTTATTTAAGCTCCTTTAATATTATTGAAACAGTGTCAATATAATTGCACGTCTAAGGGCTATATAGAGCAACAGTAAACCATATGTACGGACCTTGAGAAGCTCTGAGCAATACAAAATTTCCGGTGCCCCTCTTAGCAATATGTTTGAGTAGGTGGATGATATTCTTTTTTTTTTTTGAGCAGCAGGTTTAATCCTCACTCCGAATTTTTTTGAAAAATTAAATAACAATATGTTTGTGTAGCTGTTGATACTTTGTTTTATTTTTTTTTGGGGAGTGGATTAACCCCCTTCCAAATTTTTTTAAAAGATAAAATGGCAATATATTTGGGTAGGTGGGTGATACTTTTTTACTTTAATTTTTTGGGGGGAAGAAAGGAGGGTAACCCTCCCCTCTGAATTTTTTAAAAGATAAAATGGCAATATGTTTGGGTAGGTGAGAGATAAAGTTGGTCCGTTTAATTAAGATGACCATGAAGATGGTGAAGTGTGCTGTAGGTGGAGGACTATCTAAGGATTTTGAAACATACAAAGGCCTTAAGCCGGGTGACAGGCTTGCCTGTTAATTGTTTAATATAACTATGGAATGTGCTGTTAGAAGCTCAGGTGTACAGATTGGAGGCACCTTATTTAACAAATCGGCTCATATCCTTTGCTTCGCGGATGACTTGGACATAATGGGAAGAAGCTTGGCATCTATGAAGGAGGCATTTCTGGCTATACAGAAAGCGGCACAAAGAGTGGGTCTAACAATAAATGAGTCAAAAATCAAATATGTGAGAGCAGGTCCGCAAGTATTAGATCGGCAGGATGCCCACGTGAAAATCGGTGACATCATATTTGAGTATGTGAAATAAACAAATTTATTTATTTGGGCTCTCAAGTGAACTCCAATCATTATATTCAGCAAGAAATTAATAGACAGTTAATGGCTGCAAACAGATGCTATTTCGGGTTCTTCAAACATATCAAAAGTAGATATCTCTCGAGGATCATCTTTATAAGACTATGAGTGTCTCATAAGGCCTATGCTTCCGGATGTTGGACGATCTCTCAAGCTCATGCTCATAAGATTCATGGAGCGTACCCTTAGATGAATCCTTGAGCCAGTGTCCAGCAATAATGTTTGGCAACAAAGAACTAATTCTGAAATAGAAAGAATGTATGATAATACAAATTTCGTTAGAATCATATGGACTGAAAGGCTTCGTTTGGCAGATAATATGGGACAACAGTCCTCCAAATAAATTAAAGGTTACAAAAATGAATTGAAGCCATGGAGTAGTTCCAGTCGCAGTAAGCACAGAGAGGAAATTGTTCTTACATGACTAAGAATAGGTCATACCAGGCTTACAAGCATTCGATTAATTACAAAAGAAAACCTGCCCATTTTACAGAAGTGTGGAGGGAGAATGAAAGTGGTCCATTATTATTATTTTTTTTTTACTTAACATGCTAACTTTAAATAACTAAAACAACTCATCCTAAGATCCAGGCCTTCATCATGGTCAAGCAAAGACTAGATAACAAATAAATACTGAGAAAATAGTAGGCAGTAATAATAATAATATGATACGTAATTTCATAACTATATAAATTCCTAACTGTTATTTTATATATTCTAACTTTGTTACTGTTATTTTATAACTTCCAGCTTTATTACAGTTACTTTCTTCTTCTTCTCCTTCATGGGTGCTACAACTCATCACTGAGTCTTGGCCTCCTCAATTAGTCTTACCCACTGATCTCTCTCTTGCAGCTCTCCTCCAGTTAGCCAGTCCTAGAAGATCTCTACCATCCGCATCGATCCCATCCATCCAAAGGTTTCTTACAGTATGCTAAATTAATCTGATATGTGTTTTTAAAAAGATTTGTAAATTATTACATAAGGAAATATTAATATCAAGATCTGTACAATTTCACTTTTATTCAGAATTTCATTCACAGTAAGGGTCAGTAACAAACAAATTTGTTACAATATGCAAGAAATCTTATTTTTATATTATTCAACATTGATTGTTCTTTTTGAAGCTTTGACTTGTAAAACTAACTAGTATAATATAATAAATCCTAGAAAAAATATAAACAAATGAAAAAGATCTAATTGTGAAACCCTAAAATTGTGAGATTTTTTTTTTATTCCTTTATGTTTCATAGAATACAAAACTGAGCTACATAACACTTTTTTTTTATTGTTTGTTTTTATTAAAGACACTACAGTACATATATTTACTAAATTAAAACATAAATATACAACTAAAACAATATTAAAATTTGTATGTGTGGGATAAACTTTACAAATTGCTTTTTGAAGAAAACCAAATGTATTAATTACAATAAAATTAGAAACCGTCTCTCTCTTTTTTTTTTTTTTCTTCTATGCTCACATGTGGTTCTGTGCAAGTTTTGTTATAACCATTCACAAATTTTCACTTGCGGAAGTTATTTACATCCATTTATGTAACAATTAGTGAAGAAAGCAGTATTACAACTAATGGTGTGATTATCCAATAAACCTTGTTTAACCATAGTGTTTTAATTTTTTAACTCACAAGTGCTGAAAGAATGTCAGTCATCTATTTCTTAAAATATTTTGTGGAATAATTTTATAACTTATAAAGCTGACACAGATTTGATTTTAATATTCTGTACATACTATTGGTAAGAAAATAAGTAAAAGTTAGAAAAACAAATGTATTCCTCAATCATTCTCATTCACATCAACAAAATGAAATGAATCTCGTTTCGTTCCCAGCGAGCCCATGCTGGTGACGAAACGGTAGGTTTATAGCAATCCATGAACTTGAGCTTAAAAAATTATACCAGTAATTAGTTCAAGAAATTAAATTATGAAATTAAAAGCTATTTCTAATATCATGAGAATTCTTTTTTTTTTTTATAGTGATTTTGATAGTGAAGAAATAGTGATTCTCTCAACCCTTTGCTTGTCAAAAATTATTACACAATATATAAATATATAAAGTGTACAATCAACATTGGTTTCATCGAAGAAAAAAATTTCATACTAAATGTTTATTAAAATAATATATATCTATTTTTTTTTTTTTTTTTTTTTTTTCGAGACTCCTTAAATTTTATACCTGACAAAAATCAAAAGGTCTTTTCCAAACTAATTTCCACAATCAATTTTTAAAGTATAATAATTTCATGGAAATGTTCAATTATTTTAATCAATTTTTCATTTTTATGATTTAATCTTTAAAAAAATTATGATTATAATCATTATTATACCCTAAAGTTTTAACAATCATTAATGGTGTTAGTAACATTAAATAGTAGAAGTTTAATAATGTGAGTATTTTCTTTAATAAAGTTAAACTAAATTCTTAAGTTCAAGAACTAAATTCTGTTGCTATCTCTGAAACTCTGAAGGAGAATTTTTCCAACTATGGAGATTTTTTTCTTTTTTTTTGTTTACTATTTATTTATATTCATATCTGCTCTTGAAATCAGACATAGAATAATGCAAAGTTGCTTTAGAAAACAACTTTGCATCATTTCTATGAACAGTCTTAATTTTAAATCAATGACCAGAATTTGAGCATAAAAATAATTAAAATTAAATAATGACAAACCAAATATAAGCCCAAGTTTCTTTGGCACAATAAAACAGTTTCATGAACTGTATTGAGCAATATAAAAATTGTAACAAGTATTTAAATTAATGGACAAAACAATCTTGGTTACATTTATGCACTTAGTTATTCTAAGGTTGCAATTAGGGCACTTATCTAATTTTAAAAGAACAGTAAAACCAACTAGATTATTTATTTTATAAGGGAAATTGAGACATATTTGGTAAAGAATAGATAAGTACCCTAAATAACCAAAAGTTAAAGAAGTAACGTAAACATTTTTTTTTTCCTCTTATTACTACAACTCTAACATCAAAAAGGGATTCAAACCAGTCCTAAATGAAGTGCTGAAGATCAAGGACTTATAAAACAAAACCTCATGAACTAATCAATTGAGAGGATTTATCAATTATTTTTACTCCACAGATTTATCTTCCATACTTTGTTAGTAAACGCTACTTCAAATAATTCATCTAAAAGCAGATTAAATTTTTTAAAACTATGAACGCAGTGGAAGATCAATCGCACAGATGTTACAGCTATAGGTCTGCATTCAATCCTCTAAATGAGAGAGTATGAAAATTGATATAGTTATTCTCTTTATATTCGAAAATAATAATAAAAAAAAAATATGATACTTTCACACACATCAAACATTTATGAAATCAATAATTTCTATTCCAAACATTTATTTATCTTAGCCTGGTGTAAGATACAAATGCTGATCGGATGGGATACTGCCTGATTACTGGATTAATGGTGAGCTCTGGCTGTCGCTAAAATCAAGTGCGTAGTACATGTCTGAACTGTCGATGCCTGGGAAGGTACGAGACTGCGCCAAAGGTTCCTTGTCTTTGTCGAGGCCATGCCTGCAACCCATTTAATGAGTTAAAAAAAAATAATTCAATTCCTAAAATCTGTAATAAATATTGAAAAGTGCTTTTAAATGATACTATTGAAGTATTTTTACGTCACACCTGTATCATATAAATATTTAAAAACCCATTAAGTATTCTAACATGTTATAAATCTTATGAATTTTTGTAGAATATAAACTAAAGAAAAATCTTTATAGGTCAGAAATGTATGTGTAGTAGACAGACAAATTAAAATAATACTTATGGAGTTGATTAAATACACAAAAAAAAAAAAAGACAAAAAAGAGGTGTATTAAGTAATAAAATACTAAATAAAATTTAGTATAATCTCAATTATCACATGGTAATGGAGGGATTGTAGATAAATTGGAAATCCCAAAATAATCCATTAAACTATTTTTCATTTTAAAAATATTGAGCCATTGTGTTTCTCATTGTTATTTCTGTAGTTAATCTATGAAGATGAAGAAGTGGAGGGTAATACTGCTGGTTAAATAGAACAGTTGCTTTTTTGGTATTTTCTATTATTGTTTTATAAAACAACAATTCTTATTTTTATCATTATGTTGTTCTTCCCAAATATATAAAACAAGGCAGAGCTATTGAAACTCAGAGACAAGCTATAGTTTAATCTGCTTTCACTTTGACTTCCTATATAAAATCTTGATGATCTTTTTTTTCTATCAATGAAGCTTTAAGTTTTGCTCGTCTTAAAATAAAATAATGTAAATTGATGCCCATATATTTGTGCTATTTGTTTCTCCGAGTAATAACTAAATCTTTTTTATCCATGTTTCAGTCTTTAAATAACATCTTGATCCACTAGCTTGATACTTCTTATTTTCAATGGTTCAACAAACGGATGAAGTGGCCTTTGTCATGCTCAACACCATGTTTTCCTTATTCCTTTCTCCAACATTCTGCACATCGTTCATAATATTCATCCCCATATCCCTTAAAATCTCACATGCCATCTAAAAGGATTTAACTCTTAATTGATTGTAACAGCGTCATTAGTTTCCCTAAAAACTGAAAACCTAAACATGTATCCATCTTTTCTTTTACTTATTGATTCTGAAGTTTTTCCAGAATGGAAAAATAATTTTTTTTTTTCGTTGGTCCATATTTATTTCTGTTAGTGATCTGAGGTAAATACTTAAATAATCAATGCATGCATTTCAGATATTAAATTTAAACATTTGTCAAGAAATAATATAGAAAAATAATTGTGATTACAGTTATTTATTTATTTATTTGACAGTCCTTCAAGGACCACTTAAACATTATTTTATGTAGTGTGTCCCGTAAGTAGAGGGAAATATTTAAAGTGATAATGTAAGACTTCAAAAGTTTTTATAAACAATGGCCCAATTTTCAAAAGAAAAGGAGAAACTTTGAGTCTTGTGTTTTTTTTTTTGTTTTTTTTTTTGTAAATCACGTTTTTTTGTTGAATAGGAAATGATAACTAAAAAACCTCTTAATTTAAATAATTACGAATTGCTTCACAGTAAACTAGACAAAATTTATTTAAAATGGAAATAAAATTCGTTATTAATAAAACCATTTAAGGAGGACTTTTGAGCTGCTAAATTGAGTTATTCTATTTTTTAAAAATTATAAATTATTTACAATTTTTTTTATCATTCTCCAACTAAACTACAAATACCCCAATTTCAGAAAAACATCCTTGTTTAATAAAATTTAAGTTCATATTAATTAACTTGAGGTTTACTGGGAAAAAGTTGAAATTCACACCAGGTTGTGTATAAAAATAATGTGATTTTATGTCTTGTTCCCAAAAAGTACACATGTTTTTAGCAAAAATGACTAAAATAAATTGTTGTAAAGCTTTTATTTCTTGCTTTTCCATGATCTGGGACACATCATAATAAAAAAAAATTGCCTAAATGCACTTTTTATTTATTAAAAAATGTTAAAAATAATAATTTTTCATATAAAGTGGTTATGAAATTGTATTTATAAATATATGAAAGATTGACATTATTTTCATTTACAAACAAAATAATTGTCCTGGTTTAAGAAGCGCAAGTCATATTTTTGTGTGGGAGTATTTTTCTGACTATTTTGCTCCTACATTGAGATTTATGAAGGTAGCATGAATAAATTTTACAAAAAAAAAAAAATAATGAAAATAAGAAATAAAGATATGGATCATCTGAGGTATAGGATAAGTGATCTTGGTATAAACATGATGAAAAGAGAACAGAAAGAGAAAAAATAGCTTATCAAAATATAAGAAAAAGCCACAAAGAGGGAAACAAATTATGTTCTCTGAATTAAGTTATTATCAGACAAGTTGCCAAATTTAGTAGCTGAATATATGAAAAACATGAAGTTAAATCTAAGTAGATAAATCCAGCCATAATGAGTGTAACTTACAAGTTTTTCTTCAGTACAGAATCGAAGCGTGTGATGTTTAGTGGTAACAGTGGTGAAGATTTGAAACAACAATGCTTATAAGTCTCATGCATCCTACAGTGGCAAATTATGACCTGTAATAAAATCAAATTAATAGGGATTGGTTAATTAAGTAGCATCTTGACAAGTAACTTGTACTCAAAGAAGTTTTCTCTTCCCCTTCTCTCTAACTGATTCAATAGTAATCAGTAAAAAATATTTTTGGTAGCTACTCAAGAATAAACTAATCAGTAACACATCTTAAAATAAAATATTTGGCTACTGAATTTGAATAATTTATAGTTCAATCTCTAATTTAATGGACTGATATTTATAAAATATACCAAAATACACATATGCGCTCTCTTTCTCTCTTTCTCTCACGCACACAAATTTATATATATATATATATATATATATATATATATATATATATATATATATATATAGTCTAGTATAGCCTATGATTTTATATATATATATTTTTATATATAGAATCATAGTTTTTTTTTTTAATATGGATGCATTCTTACTATGGAATATTTTTTTCAACATTGATATCATTCATTAATGGATATAATAAGCCTATTTCTCATCATTATAAATTCAAAAATGTTAAACATGTCTCTTTTTTTATTCAATTTAAGCCTATATTTATCTACAAGCCTGCCTTAGAGTTACAATAAAAGGTAATACAGAACATCATTTAATTTTTATTGTTAATAAAAAATATAGAGATAGATCCTGAACACTCACGGTTACAATAACAATGAGGAGGGCACAAGCAAGAGTTCCAGCGGCTACATAAACATTGTGGAAATGATCCAAGTGGATAGATACTGGCATCTGGAGGTCGATCGGTTGTTCATTGCCGTTGAGATCAATTATATCTGAAGCACTGCTTGGTGGTATTACTTCAAAAATGACTTCCTCTGAAAAGTGTTGATGAAGCTGCTCAGAAAATTCCTAAATAGAATATTATAGAGATAATTTAAGTTAATTTACCATTACAAATCTTTCCAGTGTAACCTGGTCTGCAAGCACAATAGAAAGATTCAACACTACTCCAGCATGTGCCACCATTTCTACATGGGTTTGCACTACAAGCCTGAAAAATTATAACAATGAATTATGTTTATTATTTTAAGTTTAAACAAATTTTATTTATTAAGATCTGTTTAATAATAAAGTTAAATTCCAAAGCATTTTGATTCTTTTCCAAATTCGGTATGAAGTACTCTAATATTCAAAAACAGAAAATACTCGAGTTGTTATCTAATCATATACTAAATGATGTAGGGATCTTATTAACCTCAATAATTTTCAGTCCTACTCCATTTGAATTTAAAATTTGCTAATTAAAAAGTAAAAGATAGGCTCTAAAATGTCAAGATTGATTAAATATTAATAATTAATTAAATTTGAAGGTTATAACGATGAAGACAATGAGCAAAGTCATTCCCGTTGTCTGTAGTTTTCATTTGCTCCACCTTTATTTGGAACAAATATTCTATTCATAATTTATATTAAAAGTATTAGACTTCATTTTTCTTCATCTCAGCAAAAAAAAAAAAAATGTAAATTCTAATTTTTAGGTTTTGTAAGATTTGCTGTGAACTACTTTTTAATAAAAATTCGAGTATCTAATTTCTAAGCAAGCATCCATTTCTCTGTTGTTCTAGACATTCTAGACCTGAGATATTTAAACATCCTTACATATTCAAAACATTCCTCCTTGTGTCTACATCATGTTCCTCATCAACTCTGATGATATAATGTATTTTATTCATATTTGTTTTGAAAAGAAATGTATTGTTAGTATTCATTAGTGCTCTATTCAATCTAACATTTCCACTGAACAATACCAAATCACCAGTCAATAAACTGTGCAGAGTTAAATGTTTTCCGGTACAAATCATCTTTCTACAGGGTATAGGTATTGTATTATTTCAATAAATATTTTTTTTTGTATGGTACTGCTTTGTGCATGTTAAGGTTAATTCATGATGCATTAAAATGTACAAAATGTTCATCTAACTATTACCATTTGAATAGAACCTTTTTGAGAATTTTAATTATTTTAGGTTGTTCCCATAATCCAATTTTTTCAGATCCTTTTATATAATATGTATATTAAAATGGTTATGATTTATTTATTAGGAATACGGTTGAATTTGACTTTTTTTGTATACTTTTAAATGATTTTTTTTTACTCTTCCTTAACTGGACAGGGTTCTTTTTTCAAGGATTGAGAGATTTGGAAAATGGGAGAACGATTGTTTTAACTTATTTCATCATTTTATTTTTTTGGGAATAACATTTATATAAATATTCATATAAAACTAAAAAAAACTCAATTGCAATTAGTGTTTTCCGAGCATTGAAAAAAGATTTGCTAAATATAATTCTTTTGATTGATCCATCACTAAGTTTCTAATTTTTAAAACTTTAATAACTATGATTTGAAAATATTTGGAAAAATTATCTTACTGCTCTTGTTGGAATCAAGCATTCTGGACCAGTAAAACCCTTGGGACAATCACAGCTGTAGGTATTCCCCTTGTCGACGCAATAATGGTGGTGGGAACAAGGATTTGGATCACACAAGTTCATCTGAGAAAAAACACTTTGATTATTTCTGTTAAATAAGACATATTTGTTGTTAAAACCTAAATGAAGGATAGTACTTTGATATGACATGTATCCCCTGTGTATCCTCTCGCACATTTGCATGTAAAGCTATCTATGTGGTCAATACACGTTCCTCCGTTTGCACATGGGTTACTTTCGCATTCATTATACTCTTCTTGACACTGGCTACCCGTAAAACCTGAAACAGATTTACATTAATTTCAATGTAAAGCTAAAAAATATGTATTGAAGAAAAATTTAAATACAATAAAGCAACATTTAAATATATTAATTATTGAGATTCTTGATCATGTAATGCCATTTTTTTTTTATAACTAATGAAATTCTTAATACAGTGGAATGTCAATTATTTAGACCTAATATGCCACTTTTTGCTCAGATACTGAAATCTTTCAGATTATTGCCACAATTAAACATAGAGTAAAATTGTAGACAGAAACAATTAATAGCTCGGTAGAAATATAATATACTTTTATTTCAATGCTTCAGTTTTAAATGTTCATTGTAATGTTGACATTTGTATTTATATGATTTAAAAAAAAATATTATTCAACATTCATTTATATATTGAGAAAAAAAAAATTTAATGAGTATAAAAAAATGAACGATTTTCAGGATTATCAAAGGACAACAAGAACCAATTATGTGTAGACCAACCTTTTAAATTAAAAGAACTCAAGTTTACATATTTACTACAAAAATAATGAATAAAAACAATAAGATTATTAACTTTTGTCATAAAATATAATTTACAAATAAATCCCAGTTTATTTTACAACAGTATATGTAGTGGTTGGTTATTAAACTGTTTGCACTGATAAATAATTAAATTAGCATTGAATGGTCGAGAAACTGCAACACAATCTTTAAAAAATTATATACAAAACTAACTAACAGTTCTGTTTTCTAACAAAAGTTTTCAAATTCTGTTTTAATTTACGAACTGGAAAAATGAAATTTTCAAATTGATATTGATATATTAGATAATATATATATATATATAATATTATATGATTTGATGATGAAGGCAAGTATGATTAATTCTCCACACAATTTTGATTAATTGACAGATAAAGAAAGAAAACGGACCAAGCAGGCTAAAAAGTTGTATAAAACACGTGTTACCAGGCAAAGTGATAAATTGAAGATTAGAGGTTCAAATCCGGATGCAGAGGGGACTTTTAACTCTGACATTAATCCCTAACTTTCTCCCCTGACAGGGAAATCCCATATAACCAAGATGAAGAGGAAGAGGAGGAATGGAAAAAAAAAGTGATTGGAAAAAAATGATAAAGAAGGAAAATATGAACATATATATATTTACATAACTATTTTAATTGTCCAATTATAATAATTATGTTAAAATAGAACACTGAAGGGTGAATTAGAGACATTTTGTAATATTATATATATTTAATGATAATATGATAGATGTATAGCTAAAAGTATTAAGGGATGGGGTGGACGAGCAGGCTAAAGCTTGTGCGTACACAAAACATGTGCTGTTCGGCTGATATCAGCCTGAATACCTGATATCGGCTGAATCTGATAACTGAAAATGATATGATAAAATAAACATGAGCTCATATCCCGAGTTTTTTTTTTAACTCTGGCATTAATTCCCTGCCCTCATCCCTGGTCTGAGAAAAACTTGTTATAACCTAAAAGGCGAGGAAGGGGTGGGCAAAAAATAAAAAAAAAGCCAAAAAGGGTGACTGAATATAATGTATTACAATTCTGTAACAGTAAATATTTGCCAAGCCCTTAAATTTTGTTTTATAATATATATCAGGTCAGTTATATTATAGGAAAAAAGAATAATACAACTTATTGCTTAACAACTATTAAAATTAATATTTAGTACCAATTTACTAAATCTTAAATATGACTTTTAGCAATATTTATTTTTATTTTCTTATACCTGGTTGACAAAAACAGCGGTAGCCTTCTTTCTGATCTACACAGATACCATGACGACAAGGGGCGGATGAGCAGGCATCGAGTTGTGTCTGACAGTGAGGTCCGGTGAAGCCAGGGGGACAGATACACTTAAACTGATTGGCTGTTTCGTTACTGGGTCTGCAGGTTCCTCCGTGCTGGCAAGGTCCTGATTCGCAGGGATCTGATGTGTCCTCGCAAACTTTACCAGTAAAACCTTTCAGAGAAATAAAAAATTTAATTTTTGAATATGAATCAAATTATCATTAAATTTGTCTACAATTATAGAGAACTATACAGACATCTGCAATGTGACAAGAATTTTTTCTCGACTGAATTTTTTAAAAATTGTCAAGTGGTGTATTGAGAAGTCACTTAGTAAGTAAGCATTTACAATAATTATTGAATTATTTAGGTTTATAATTTAAAACATCAATCATGGGTAGTAAAAGATAAACATTCTTTAAAAATAATTATATGTGTGAACTAAAGTTATTAAGGTTACCATATGGGCAGAGGCATTGAAATGTCGAACCCTCATGTCCTTGAGAAATGTCAACACATATGCCATTGTTTTGGCATGGATTTTGATAGCATGCATCCTTTTCTTCACAATGAGGGCCAATATATCCAGCGCAACAAAGACATTCATAACCTTCCTGAAAATAAAGAAATCATTTTTCTAATTTCAGAAAATAAAAGTTACAAAGATGTTTCTCTATGAAAAAATAAAAGAATATTAAGAAAGAACATATAGATACATAAAATAATATTTAATGATTGATAAAAATAATAAAAATATTTTGATCTTTAGATAAAGCAATAATTTATTTGAAAATCTATCTCTTTGTTGAATTGTTAATTTTTTTTAACAACAAGTCTAATTAAAATGTATTGTTTAATTTAATATTAACAATTAATTAATTAATAATAAAATTATGGCTTGCTTACAGTCAGTTGTTTATCATGTTCTTAGTTAGTTGTTTTAATTCTTGATTATGTTAACTTAAGGAAAAAAGCTTTGCAATTTGTACTTTACACAATAATTAAATACAATTACCTATCACCTTTGAGCAAATTTTAGAGATTGATTTTTTCTGTACATTTGAAGTCAATTGTCAATCGTCTGTTGGATATGTGATCCAAGTAGAGCGCTGAATTAAGTGATTGTCAATATTTGAACCGTTAAATGCATAAGTAAAGAACTGATGGTTTGAGATATTTAACAATTTATGAGAAGTTCTAAAAAGACAGGAATAGAATCATAGCAGGTATTTCTTGGTAAAGAATAACAGCTTACTTTGTCAGTTAAAATCAGTCAGTCTCTATAGTATATCCGACAATTTGAAAGAATTAACTTAATATAATCAACAATTAATTATTTATTTATTATGAAAATGAAAAGTTCAATTGCTCATACACAGAGTGAAAGGGGTAGGATTTGTTTCATAATGTAAATTAATCATGTGATATTTTATATTTTAGCTCCAATTTCTATAGTTTACTTACTGTACACAATTATTTCTATAATTTTTAAGATGGATTGGAAGCATGAAGTTAAATTTTAGAAACCTATGTAATACCATCTCAATGGCCCCTTCTTTTCTTCTTATATGCAAACCTGTATAACTGCTAGGTATAAATGGCTGCTAACCCTTCTCACGAGGCTATGGTTTATGGTCAATACAAATAAATACCTCAATGATTTATTAAGGAATTTACAATTATTAAATTAATACGTAAATATATTGTCCCGGATGAGAAATCCTTCAAATCAAAGCTATTTTTAATTAAATACAGAAATATAACAAAATATTTCAAATTAACTTAATTTTGAGCATAACTTAAGGAAAAATAAGCAAAAAACCAATACATAAAATAAACACCAAGTTAACGACTTTTTTTTTTTTGGGTCCTGCCCATCCTTGCCGTTAAGGCTATACGGGGTTTTCCCGGGCCAGGGGCTGTGGGCGGGGATTTAAAAGACGCCTTGGCACTCGTGACTATTTTTATATTTGTCATATATCAGGTTAAAATAAAAAAAATAAGGTGTATGATTTAAGCCGCCCAATAGAAGTGAAAACATCAACAAGGCCATGTTAATAATATAAAATATAAATTATAAATAATAGCTCTTTATAACGAGGATGAAATGCTGAACATTTCCCCCCTCGCTTATAGTACACAGGTTCTATTTCTAGTTTCTGAGATATTTTAATCCAGATCTTCCATAAAACTTGTTATCATTATAACCCATGGTACAGACCCCTTTTTATCGAATTATTAACATCTGCCTGAAACTTCGTAAATAGTTACATCTCATCGTAACCTACAACTATTTATTTACGAAAATTCTTGAAATTGGGACGTTTTCAATCTGGAGGAGAGAAAACTTTGTCTATTTAATTAGGTACTAAAAACTCGTAAATACTCATTTGCTTTCTACTTGGATCGTAAGATAATCTGACTACAAATTCTAGAAAAAAGGTGGCCTACAAAAATATTCGGCCATTTGTCCTGTATAACCTTGTTATTTTGAAAATTTGGGGGTGTAGGTTACTCCAAACGGCTCAATATTTTTGAAGGTCACCTTTTTTCTCGATTTTGTGATCAAATTATCTTACGATCCAAGTAGAAAGCAAATGAGTATTTATGAGTTTTTAGTATCTAATTAAATAGACAAAGTTTGCCCCCCTCCAGATTAAAACGCCCCAATTCCAAGAGTTTTCGTAAATAAAAGACATAATTCTGAATAATAGCGCATTACAAAGAGATGATAAATATTTCTCTCGCTAACAATATACAGGTCCCATGTTTAGTTTTTGAGATATTTTAATCCATATGCAAAAACACTTCAGTAAGTCGATTCCAGCCGACTTTACCCGAGCGTTACATATCGGAAATCTGACGACTCAATCTGATTCACTCTTCACAAAAAAAGGTGCAAAACACGACTAAACGCGACGCAATCACTATAAAAAGATAACTGTCAAGTACCCTTTTGTGAATATCTTGCCGGACTAAATGTCCGCACATTGTTATTATCCTTAGGGGACTTCAGTCCCAGAATAAAATTATTTTTGTCAATTCATTTCGTCATTCTATTTTGACAATGTAACACATAAATTGCTCGATGTCCTCCTTTGATGATGACATTGAAACCTCTTTAAAGTAAATATTGAACAATCCATAGTCAACAGAGCTAACGAGGGCATAATTTTATGTCAATTCGAAATCAGAAGGACAGGAGGAAGAGAGGAAGGCACACAAACTAATCCCTTTATCCAAGTTAAACGACAGAAATGGAAGGAAGTGGAAATGTCCAAACCGTCGGAGCCTTATCAAATTACCGGTGAATACATTCCTAAAGGTCGCAACGCTAAATCGAGTTTGTGCCCGGGGAGGGAAGTTGTTAGGCCGCCTAACTTGCTTAGCCCAGAATGATATATGGACCTGCTCCGCTCCGAACTAACTCCTCGATATTTTATCTGTCCATCTTCGGCCACCATTTTCTCGCCGGCCAGCCTGACATTTAATTCAGACGTCCTGGGAGCCCGGTTGGGATCTGATAGAACTTTGAGCTAGATGAAAAGTCGTCCCTGAATAAACCCCATTCAACATTTGTTTTCAGGAGCTTGGTGTTCAGGAGAAAACGTCTTATCAGGGCTTTGATTAACAAACCGAGCTGCCTTGCTTCTCGGTATTTACGAACCACCGTACTCCTCAGAGATCTTGATTGTACATAATAAAGTAATCACCAGCTACACACTTGTACGCGAAATTGACTAGAGCGAAACTTCAATCCTTGAATAAAAAAAAAAAAATACTTTTTACTTGGGATTAGCTTTAAAGAATAAAAAAGAAAATTGGACATACATTTTTTAAAACGTTACTTTTCATTTATGAATTGTTTTGGCTTGTAGAACGTATGCGAAAGTCCTTCTTATTTGTTTAATGTTAATAGATTTAAAAAAAATTTTTATTTATTTTTTTTTATTGATGATATTTACAACTGTATTATAAATAAAAATACATTCAGTAAATGTGAACAAAAGCCCACTGGTAGCAATCTAAAAATGTATTTACAAAAGGAGATCTCGAGGCAATCTTCTTTTCAGACGCCTCGTAGGGATTTAAACAACTAAATTTTTTTTTCTTCATATGTATTTTTTCATCAGAGCCCGAACTCGATTTCGTACCAAATATAAGCTCCTGTCAGGTCCGAATGCCGTTAATGAGGTTCTGTTTGACTCAGAATTTCACGGGGGGTTAGCGATTCATACTCTTCGTTTTTCTTTTTCTTTAAAAAAAAATAAATAAAGGCATACTGGGATATTGTTTTGTTGGTTAATCGAGGCGAAACATATTTTGTTTGATGCGGACATCAAGTTCCTTAGGAACGCATGGGTTCTGCCCTGCGATTTAAATCCCGAAAACGTTCAAATGATGCAAGGTAAAGGATTTGCCGTGGATGGTGCCATGGGATATATATCACTTGTATCAATTAATTTTCATTGAACGTGAGAGGAGATGGTTATATGTAAGTATAATTTCTTATTAATAAATTTTGAGATGAGCTTTAAATGGAGGCGGGTTGGCCGATCGAACTACCGCGTGTGCACAACGTCGCGCATAGCCCGACAAACTGATATCCGAAGTTATAGTAGATGAAATGATTTGCGTCCTGGTACCGGGGGGCTTTTAACACTGCCATTAATTCCCCTCCTTCACTTCCTGACCCGAGAAAAAAACCCGTATAGCCTAAAAGCCAATAAGTATATTGTTGATGGAGATGAATTTTTAATAACGTTTTTGTGAATTTCGATCTTAGCCATTGATAGAAAAAACAACACAGTAAATGAACTAAAATGACACCAACTCTTTTATATATCAAACATAGTTACGAAATTGCATTTTCTTTACATTAAAAAAAAAAAAAATGGTTAAAACTACACCACTCACTTTTTTTTTTTTCAAATGTTCAAAACTGAAAATTTGAAAATAAATGAAGTAACGTATTTCAACCCGTAACCTCAAACCTATGCCCCATAGATGTTTGGTTAAGTAAAAAGAGAAACAAAAATTATAATCTTTTCAAACCTATTTCAGGGCTTCTAATATGATTAGAAGTCTTATACGTACTAATTTACGCCAACCAAAAATTGAAAAACTCTCTCCCTTGGCTTAAAAAATAATGAAAATAAGCAAAACATTAAAGTTTATTGCTGTTATAACGTTTCGGTCTATTTCTCAAGCCTTTTACAGGGCTATAAACCAGAAAGGAGTATTGTAAGAACTCGTTCGTTGTAAATAAATAAATAAATTGGAAATATGTTCAAGGTGGTGTAGAATACAAAAAACAATGAAGTAATCTCTAGCTTATATATGACATTATTATTAGTGAAAATCAATATGTACAAATAAATAATACAAAAACCAAAACAAAAGATACCATTTCATGTATAATTATTAGTGATTTGAATCGGTGAGTGCAGAAACCACATCAGTAAAAAAAAATGTGAAAAATCGTTTTCGATGAAAATAAGCTTAGAAAGGCACGATGCCTGTTGAGTGTAAGAACCATGTTAGTCTGTTGTATAGTTCCGTAAATACATGACTTCTTTTTCGATCGTTCAGCGCGGAAATAACATGAGTCATTGACTGACGTGGTTTCAGCACCCACCGCTGGATCGCATGATCAGCAGAGATGGGCATATTTATATTCAAAATATAAATACCAATACCAATTATATTTAGGATACTTATGAATATAAATATAAATATATTGCATATCTGTACATGAATACAGATGATACGTATTTACGGCTGTAAATAGAAATACGTATTCACGATTGTAGAAGAGAATATGTAAATACGGCTGCATTTATTCTAGTAAAAATGAATAAAAGTTCAAAACAAAGTTTTAATATTTGAAAATTTGGAGAAGTTATGGCGTTTTTTCTCTCTTCTGAAAAATTTCAAATTTGTATCTGAAGTGGTTTCTCCACTCACTTGTTTTTCATAGATTAATATCACAAATATAGATTATAATTATATCAAACCATTGATGTGTTGGTAAAGCAAGCGCCTTTTCCGGAACAGTTTTCGTTATCACCACAGTTCTCTGATTTTACTGTTATTTTGAGTTTAGCACATCTGTTTCCGGAAATAACTGAAACACATAAACAATCCTGTTAAAACTAGATAAGTTATATATACATATACATTAAACATATATGAAATATCAACTTATAATATTTATATAACATCTTTTCTTATGTTCAAGCAATACTTTAATCAAGCAAGAGAGAGAAAAACACGCACGCACACCCACACACTCACACACACACACACACATACGCATATACGGATGTACGTATACAACTCGTGCCCGGGGTTTATTTGTACGTATGTATAGCATATTGAAAATATTTGGTTATTATTGCACGAGAAATCAGTAAAGTTTGAAAAATGATCTGTTTTTATAAGTCTTCCTTGTGCTATTCAATGAATAAATATTTTGATCACTTATTTCTTGAGTGCTTTCCTTCCATTGTTTATATTATGGGATGTTTTTTTCCCGCTAAGTTGCTTTTTAAAATTGAGTTTTTCCTTTTAAAAAATATTAAATTATTTTAATGAATCTCTTTCAAGTAGGGATTTCTTTTTTAACAACAAGCTAAAACCTTTTCCGATATCGAACGACGTGAAATAAAAAATTATACAAATTAAAACAAAAAATATCGCTACAACAAAGTAAATAGCTGGATTTCGCATCATATGTAAACACAGTAGTATCTTGAATATGAAGTTATATATTTTTATTTATTTAATGAAGTTGCTAAAATAAAAGGAACGATGTTGTGAAAAAAAAAATAGGTCGAAAAATTGAGGTTTAATAAGACCCGATTCACTGCAATTTTCTTTATATCTTTTCATTTTCGTAGTTAGCATAACGAGAGAATAGGTCCTAAAGAAGAGATAAGGTTGGTCAGATTTTTTTTTTTAATTTATTCATTTTTATGTTTTTTAAGACAGAAAAATATAAATAAAGTCGGATATACTGGGGATAAGAAGCCGCTCTTATTAGAGAAAAAAAATCGAGATTAAAAGACTCGATTCCTTTCAAGATATAAAAGCTGAAATCCAACAAAGCTCCTTAAGGGATGAGATTTTTTTTAATTATAAAAAGCTATATATTTCAGGGAGCAATCTAGTATCAGAGAGAGACTGCTGTATCCAATTCAATACCTTCTCAACACTGCTATTGGTGTTTTCGGGGTCGGCATTTTTTTTTATAATGTATAAAAAATATTATTAACTTTTTCATTTTTAGGTTATATGCAGGAAAACTCTATAATAAAAAAAATCAATACGTATGATTATTATATCAAATAAAAATCATACATGGTTCTTTTACATTTTATTTTTGTTTTATTATTTTGAATTATGACTTATTGTAATCGATGAAAAAATTCAAAAAGTTAACCATCTCTCCTCAAAATTTGATGTTTTAAGTTTCACGATATGTAGAACCCGAACATCTAATAAAAACTGTTTGTTTTTCCATTTTTTTTTTTTTTTTTGAGATTTGGTATCAAAGTCAGATGTTACTTGAAGATGATCCTTAGAACTTGTCAATACCATCCGTTCATTCCTATCAAAGTGGCTACCCAAAAAACCTAGTTGCTAAAGACTGTAGCGCCTAAACGATTTTAACTAAACTTGGCTGAAGTATTCTCCTCCAAGCAATTTAAATTTATTTATATAACATACTTCCTCGTAAAGAAGCTGGAAAAAAAAGTTGCGAGGGATGCAAAAATTAGATTTCCAGATATCACAAAAAGTATACAATTTTTTTGTAATCTTTTATCATATCCTTGTTTGATGGTTGACGAATATTTCTAAAAAACAGAAAAAATAATGACTGAAATAGGACGATTAGTTGCAGAGATATGGAGTTCTAAATGTTTCCCATACGTTCTTTTGCAAAGCCGATCATTGGTTTCGTCATCAACTTAATTAATCGACATTGTTGTTTCTATTTCTTAACAAACCATAAAAAAAAAAGTCGTAAGAAATGAAGTGTGATATTTGTTATATAAATATTTGGAAGCAATAAACCATTATGTAATAATTTGCAGTGTTTTTAAGCTACATTTACGTATGTTAGTTTTATTACACCATATTTTTTTATCTTTTTTTTTTTCATTTCAATCTCTTCGTTACATAACAGAAACATCCATTATTAAATGAATATATATAGTAACATGGTTCATACTTACGAATAAAAGTATATTTTATCTAAACAAACTTCATAACTGAGGGCAGTTGGACATTATTTATTTCCGTGCACAAATATTTAGTTTTATTGTAATTTATTTTCAGCCCTCCTTGTTCATATTTGTCAACTAATTTTATAAATAGATATCTGATATCATCTTCATCTTGTCCAATTAACACTTGGTCATCAGCAAATAAAATAATAATTCTCTTATAAATCAATACTCATTTTTCCACACTTCCTCATCCAACTTATCAGGTATTCGTCTGTGTATATTATAAATAGAGTGAAGTGCTTAGAACACCTTTGTTGGAACACTCTTCCGTTTTCGAATTGATTCGATAGTGATAATAAGGATTTAGTTTTAACTATACAAACCTAGAAGAATGGTGTCAATTTTTTTTTTATTGAGAAAAAAAATACATTTTGCCTCAATTGAGGGCACTGAGTATTTGGGATGTATGGAACAATCATACCATATATATATAATAAAATCTCAAAACAATAGAAAGTTATAACAAAAGAAAAGAAAAGAAAACTTGGAATAACAGAATAAAGCAAATATGAGACAACAGTACATATATATATATATATATATATATATATTATATATATATATATATATATATATATATATATATATAAATAGATAGATAAAATTAAAAAAAAAAATTAAAAACACTTATTTACAATAGTCACAGTCAGCCGAGGGAGCTGGGAGTCGGGCCCTTTCCCCCACTTGTGGGAGATAAGGCAAAATTGCAAGAGATCCCAGCGCCTCTCTCTCAGCCGTATCACTGGGATGGGAATGCAGTGGAGAATAAGAGAGTTCACTAAAGCCACATACAATCGGGTGTCAAAATTGGAGAATTAAAATAAATTCCAATAAATCCCATAAAATTACTTTTACTCTTCGTCGTAAACCTATGACTTCCTGTCCTACAGTATCCTTCAATAATTCCCCCACCTACCCCTGTTAAACAAATTCTATTCCTTTGACTCCATCTGGACAAACGACTCATACAAGACTGAAACGACAAGAAACTGCTCGACACGTACTAGACAAACGCTCTAAACTTTCACTTAATTACAAGAGACTTATTTACATGACTATAATAAGGCCTAATTGGAATTCAGCTTTGGTGCTCCAATTCCTCTCGTTACTTCTTCTTACAATCCGAAATCCATAGTAAAATCCTCAATGTTCTCTATTTAATCACAAATAAAATAATCCATTACAACCTTAATGTACCAAATGTTTCCGATTTAGCCCAACCCACATATCTATCCTTCCGAAACTTCAGAACCATCCGACCCCTCTCGTTTCAATTGGCTTCGTGATCTACTTATGTAAATATATTATTAGAATGCTAACAATGGGTAATTTCTCAAGGAGCGCTTTCATCTGATTATATTATTCCTGTGTACACATTTACCAGATGAATTTTTATTTTAATATATTTCTAAATCTCATTAATAAATGTAAGATTATTATTGGAAAAATCCAAATCATACATTCTTATGTCTCCGAAATGCAGGCAAAGAAAAACTCGTCAACGTTTCGTCAATTCAGACAGGAAACACAGCTAATCGAATCTCACTCCATGAAATCCAATCGCATACAGTATGGTTAGGAATATTTCCAATAATAATCTAAAATTAATGTTCCGTCTGTAGGTTATTTTGTTACTAATTTATAACAATCATTAATAAATACATAAATTTTTAACCATGCATTTCATCAAAGTTAAACTAACAGTTACAAGTAAAATTAATACTCTGATCTTACAAAAAAAAAAAAAAAAAAAGCTGTTAAATAAACGCGCGGAACAGACTAAGACACGAGATAACACCCCAGAATATATTTCGAGATTCTTGGCAAAAATTCATTTCAAGAGGACCCATTGCCAAAGAAGGTCTGGGTAAAGCCAGCCATAAAGGCGAGGGTTGTAGGCATATTTTTTTTTTTAACCCCGTTTCTTTATGGGCACTCAGGAGTTGAAAATTTCATGAAATGGCCCTTACACGTGGATTCTCTGAGGGAATTAAGCGAGGCAGTTGGGAATGCTTCACGATTCGCCGGCCCTCTGTCACGGTATAATTGCTGTTTCCCCTGCCTGGGTCCATCAGCATAAATATGGTATCTCAGGAATCTTTCTACATGTCACAGCTGTGTGGGCCTTTTTCATAAAGGTTTCGACATACCGGAGGATTAGGTTTTTCTTCCTTTGAAAATTTCTTTACTTTTTGGGCTAAATACGTGTGTATGTAAAAATTTCATTATTCTTCTTTATTTATTCAACTGGTGAAAAGAAAACCTAAAATATCATTTATACGCCGTATAAAAAAAAATCTATGACACGACAATCTATGAAGGGTCTTGCGTTTAGTACTTTGTAAGTACTGTTTCAAGGGCAACGGTTGTGCAGAGAGATGATCGAGCCGAGATCACTTATTTAATTAAGAGTACCTATTTTATAGAGGCTGGATGTTTTCCCTCATGAGGGTTTCCTGATCCCAGGGTAGAAATACGGCTGAGTTGCAAAATAAATATTTACCTGCGACAGCAGGACTTGAACCCAGGACTTTGACTATAGGAAGTCAGTATCTAGACCACTGAGCTACTCCGCTCCAAATCCGCCTTATTTAAACGGTATATAATGTAATTAACTGAATTTGGAATACAGAAAGAAACGAATCTCGAATCTTTATTTTTAAGGAAAATTAACTATAATCAAGGCCGGATATAGTTTTAATATTATGGTTATTTCATTTTACCTTTTTATCATTTACACAGTTTAATGTTTAATATCAAAGTACGTTAAAAACAAATGCAATCGAATTTCCAATTTAAAAATTGAAGTTTTCCTTTTAAATTGAATATTATTTCAATGAAGGTTGAAGCTTTTTTTTAAATTGAAATTGTTAATTAAAAAAAAAATTTATTTATACAGTAATATAATATTCTGTCACACGGACAATAATTATAGTGATACAAGAATACATTCATAACATATATACAGAAAACATAAAATAAACAAAAGCAAAATGACAACTAAAAAATAAAATAGTGTAGAAATGGTTGACCGTGATATAATATGAGGAGTTGGTCAGAGGGTGCGGCCAAATAAATATTAAATTGTTAAAATAGTATTGTAATCGTTACGCCGACGTTTCGACCCAATTTGTAGATCTTCATAAAAACTACAAAATATAAAAGGTGCATGGTGCAAAATAAAATAAATGAATTATTAGTAGATATAAGATATAAATAAGAAACAGTTGTCTGATAAAGAAATAATAAGATGACATCAGAGATAAAATGTATCACAGAGTAGTTTAAATATCAAGTATTACAAATATAAAGGATACAAACAAAAATAGAAAACAAGTATGAATAAAAATAGACGACAAAGGAGAATATAGCGTGTAAGTTAAAAGTAAACAGATTATGATAAAAGATAAGAAATGAGTGGATAACAAACCGGTAAAGGTTAAGTTTGATAACTATAGGTCAACAGATAATGTGTTATGAAAATGAAGGTTGACGGATAAAGAAATAGAAAAATGAATAAGTAATGATCTTGTAAAGGTAAAATAAGAATAAGAAAACATAATAATAATATATCAATGAATAACAAGCTAGTGGGGGTTACACTTGATAAATGTATGTAAACAGATAACGAGATTAAAGGTTAACAATTAAAGAAATAAAAAAAACTAATATGATAACACGAGTTGTAATATGAGAATAGATTTATTAAATATATATAACTCTATAAGAAAGTCCTAGGGTTGTCCCTCCATTTTTTAATAAACACCACTATTTAGTACTGTATGCTTGCAACAGTATTTTCAAATTTATTTATAAACAATTATTACTTTACATATAATATTCCATACAGTTAATATTACATTTTGACAGTTCAAATAATAGATTTTATAATTGTGGATTTATGGTTGACTGTAGTGAATAATTGAAGAGAAGGATGGTTGGGGTGTTCAGTCAAATTTAAATGGTAACAAATAAATAATTTTATTTATTTTTAAATTCGCCGTCGTTTCGGCCCGAAATTGAGGCCTTCGTCAGGGCTGGGAAAGAACCAAATAACAATGCGTATAATAACATTGAATAATATAGAACTAAGATTAAAAAAACAGGTGATAGGTAAAGCATAATAATTTTTAGTGGAACAATTTAACGTAAAATGAAGTAGATAGAATGAACATTAAAGTAAAACGAAGTAGGTAGAGTTATAAGTGTAACAGAGAACTAAGAAATAAATAATAATAACTGTTACAAAACACGGACCAATGAAATAAGTATAATAAAATATAAGGTAACATAAGAAATGAAAATGGTAATCTAGAATAAAGTGTAAAACAGAGAAAAGAAATTTGAAGTTATATAAGGAAATAATATATATGAATAGAGCATTAAGAAAAATATCCCATCACTCTATTTTCCATATCTCAATCTCCATTTACCATATCTCTATCTCTATTTTCTACATTTCCTCAGACATTTTTTTTTACATAATATTTTTGATAGATTTTACAATATCTTAATTTTATATTTATATCTAGTATTTCCTTATATATCTTTAAATTTCTTTTCTCTGTTTTACACTTTATTCTAGATTACCATTTTCATTTCTTATGTTACCTTATGTTTTATTATGCTTATTTCATTGGTCCGCGGTTTGTTACAGTTATTATTATTTATTTCCTAGTTCTCTCTTACTGGGATCATTCTACCTACTTTGTTTTACTTTAATGTTCATTCTATCTACTTCATTTTACGTTAAGTTGTTCTACTAAAAATTATTAGTCTTTACCTATCACCCTTTTTTTTAATCTTAATTCTGTACTATTCAATGTTATTATATCTATTGATATCTGGTTCTATTCCCAGCCCTGATGAAGGCCTGAACTTCGGGCCGAAACGTCGGCGAATGTAAAAATAAATAAAATTATGTTTTTTTTTGCCATTTAAATTTGACTGAATACCCCAACCATCCTTCTCTTCTAATAGATTTTATGTTGGGAGAAGCAACAATTTCAGTAATTAATTGTGAATTGAGAGATTAGAAAATTTTCTATGGAGATATTACGAATATGAAATATTTCTTACAATATATCTATGACTTATCAGGCTAAATTTTTTTTAAATAATCAAAAAATAAATGTTCGACCATTTCGGAATCTTGTGAGAAAGGAAGTGCACTTGAAGCTGAATGGGAACTGCTGAGCCAAGAGCCGCTAGAACACGTTCCACTCCTTCACAGGGCCTCGCTCCGCAGTTTCAGTAACGGGATATTTTTAGTAGAGCTATCTTTAGGCCTAAGTATCGTCTCATAAGAAATACATTTATTAACTATTTTTTATCTTGATGAAACCATATTGCTTGGATAGTGGGTTATTCCTTATAAAATCAACAAAAAAAAAAATTGAATTTTGCAACCTCAGATTTTCATTTTTTTTTTTTTTGTCTGATGAATGAATGAAAGTAAATTTTACTCTGGGACGCCTAGTCAGAGACTCATACATATATAAATGTATGCAAAGATCGACATATATATTGCCATGTTAATATTTTATATATCGCCACACTAATAAACGCTGAAAATATTAGTAATAAAATAATATGAACATATGAAAAAAATGGAGAAAAACAAATTTATGTTCTCAAATGTATGTGGAAGATTGATAGTTGAGGGGATCAAGAAATAATTTAAATTATTTATAATAATAATTTATAATGGAAGGAGATGTTCCGGGGTGGTGTTCGTAAATAGCTGATAGTGGCAAAACTGTTTTATTAAAAGCCAACTTTTCGACGCGACTTTGTAGGTCTTCTTCAGGAAGGTGTGTTCAGCTAGGAGTTTCACTTAGAACTCAGTGTGTTCTAAGTGAAACTCCTAGCTAAACACACCTCCCTGAAGAAGACTTGCAAAGTCGCGTCGAAACGTTGGCTTTTCATAAAATAGTTTTGCCACTATTCAGCATATTTATGACCGCCACCCCGGAACATCTCCTTTCTTTATAATGCAACGGTCAACTATTAAATATTCAATAATTTATTATTATTTAATTATATAAATAAAGTTGATGATCAATGACAAAATGTGGTAGCAAGAATGATAGATTTTTTTATGTATGTAGTTATATAAGAAGGGATATGCAAGTTCTCTGATCGTGACCATAAGAATAATGAAAATGAACAAAGAATTGACACTTGTCTGGCTTAAAATTACAAGAAATAATTAAAGTTCAGAGTTATATGACCTTCAAATTAAAAATTAAAATAAAGGATAAGCATAAATAAACAAATAAAATTATAGATAAATATATATCAATATGTTTTCATATTGGTATCGATAACTAATATAGATGATACATAGATAACTGAGGAGGAACAGAAGAATGTGGCTTACAATACTAAAATACGGAAAAAAAAAAGCACGCATTATAAAGTATTTTTTGAAGGAAACAGTTCTTTGAGAAGGAATAGGTGTATGGGCTGGGATCTTGTGTTCAGATAATGGGCAGAGGAACAAGAAACAATGAAATGAAGAAGGTATATAGGTTTTTTGGTTGTAATGATTTAGAAAAGGAATAACCTAGGAAATACACGTACTAAGAAATAAGGGGTTGAAAATCATATAAAACTTTTTTTAAAAGTTTCATTTTCACAGATTCTGTTAAACATTTTAGATAAAATGTTCAATTTAAACCATTTCTGTGAAATGTTTTAGGAAAAAAGTTTTAAAAATAAAAGTTCTAAGGGACTTTTTTGTAATAAAGTTCCATGTTTAAGTGTAACTTGTATTTATTCAAGTTTTTAAAAAAAGTTTCATTATATGAAAAACAAATAGTAATTGGGTCTAGATTAGTGTTATAATTTGTATTAAATGCAGGTAAATCACATGATTCTAATATCTTAACTGTTTGTGTAGCTATGAATAAAAGTAATTTTTTAGATCGACTGTTTAGCGAAATCAGTAGAAATTTAAAATAAATTAAAAAAAAATAAATGTCCTGTAATAACTTTACTTGAAAAGTTGATATGGTAAAACTTCTGCTTCGATAAGAACTGGCAAACTATTGACTGACAATAATGATTTCGTTGA